TTTAATTATTCTTTCTAGGGATGCACCGATATATCGGACGAAAAAAAAAAAAATGGCACTTTTGGTTAAATGCTGAAAGTGCCATTTTCCTGCCGATACATCGGCGCATCCGTGATATCTTTCCTCCCCGCTGGGCGCTGCTCTGTGTCCCAGCGGAGAGGAGAGAAACTGTGACAGCCGGCCGAGCGCTGCGGGAGAAGAGCACTGTGAACAGCTGGTGTCTCTCCTCCCACACTGCTCAGCCACCTATCACAGTCCGGCAGAGTGGTGTGGGGGCGGAGACAGCGCTGTCACAGGAGGCTGGGCTCTCCTCCCTACATCGCTCAATCAGCCTCCTGTGACAGTGTGTCAGAGAGGAGAGCAAGGTACAAACACTCAGCGTTCAGTGACTGCTGAGTGTTTGTAGATAATTGAGGGCATTGAGGTATGTGTACTGTATCCTCAAATGAATGAATGGGAGTGATCTGCATCACCTCATGTTCATTCATGATTGTAGTTATAGTAAACACACTATGTCCTCATGTTATCAATGAACAGGAACACTCAGTATAGGGGATTCCTGTTCATTGACCAGGAGACCTAATATTTTTATTTCGGTTTTAAAATTTCCATTTCGGTGCACCTCTAATTCTTTCCCATTTCTGTTTCTTGGCTATTAGCCAAAGAATTCTGAGAAGAGAACATTTTGAAGAGCAGTTGAAGATAACAAATTGTTGCCTCTTGTTTTATATTTTTTCTAGTTTAGGAACAGCATGGAAAGCTAACTACAAGAGGGGAAATGTAATACTGCTAGGACCAAGAAAGAGGTTTCCATTTTATGTCTAATACTGCACTTACAGACAGGGATGGATTTACCATTAGGCACAGTATGCATGTTGGGTGGCTATAAGTGGCAAGATAGGCAAATAGTGGCTTTTTCCTGTACAACTATTTGGCACACATTTTTTATAGTAACCCTATATCAGTGGCGTCACAAGGAGGGTGCGGGGGGGGGGGTGCAGCACACACCCGGTTGACACCATTGAAGGGGTGACACCAAAATGACTGACAGTCATGGACCGAGAGCCTGACAGTGTCTGGAGAGAGGAGCGAACCCGGCGGCATACCGGAGGTAACTCGCCGGGTGAACGTCCCCTCCTCTCTCTGCCGGCATCCATCACCAAGATGGCTGCCGGCAGGCGTCAATTAGATGGCCACATATGTGCCACCCGATCTCCGCTCCGGGTGTCACCCGGCCTCAGAACGCCCCTGCCCCATATGATCCTTTTTATACATCATCAGAATATTCTAAACCTGGTTAGGACCAGGAAAACAAAAATAATGCTCTTTGTAAAAGAGGCCATCCGGGCAGAGCAATTGTATTTAGGGCAATAAAGGTTGTGTGCCTACAGGTATCAGTGATAAATATCCGCCTATGGTTTTAAATATACTACAATTATTATCAAGTTAGAGCTAAAGGAGTTCATTTTAGCAATCGCAATAGCCCCATCTAATAGAAGATTGCAGATTTTTAAAACCCATTCTTCAGGGAGTAATGTCAGTAGATGCAGAGACGTCACTTGCGCTAGATGCATGCATTTTTGCATACAATGCATTTTTATAATGATGCATGCAGTTACTGCATATACATAAAAGTGAAAGGGTCCTCAATAAGATTTTTATCACATTGCTTCATACACACATGTGCAATTAGAATGATTTTCTTTTCACTTTAACGGGCAGTTTTCACGTGGGTTAAAAAAAAAAATGCTACAAAATGCGACATGTTCTATTTTTTTGTAAATGTGACACGCTGCAGGTCATAGATGTGAACTACCCACATAGGAATAAACAAGGGATCTACTTGCAGGAAAATGTGTGAATGGGTCCTAAAAATGTAAAAGAATCACAAAGGTATAATGAAATATATCACTGAACAATTAGTAAATGGCAGTAAATATATGCATTATCTGCAACTTTGATTAAGCATAACAATATCATAACACTGAAGAAGAACAGACTGTTCCCCCACTTATTTGTGTCCAAAGAAATAACAAAACAAAGTAAGTTTGATCAGAGAAGAGAAAAGAAGACTACAGTGAAAAACAATGTATTTTCTATGGGGTTAATAATCTGCAATGATCATATATAGTATATTAATTCCTTGTGTCACAGGCCTTTCTTTATCATTTTCTCTAAATTTACATGCAGTCCAACAAAAGTGAGAGCTAGAGGGGTTAGGGTGAACCATATAACACTGCCCAGGGTGCTTACAATGGTCAGTTTTTATTTATGCACCTTTATTTGCAAAAGGGAATACAAACTGTTACTGTCACTGCTTACACATTGTTTGCTGGAATCAAATCTTAATTTGTTTGTCACATGCTTAAAGTCAATTTAAAACTGTATGTTCATCTAAGATGACTCTGCACACAGGGTGACAATGCTGCTGTAATTTCATGTCAGAACAAGCAGGCTGTCACCAGGGCCGGATTTCACACAAGGCCAACCAAGCCTTTGGGCAGCAGGGAGTAGTGGGGCAGCAGGGGTGTGGAATTCATATCTCCCAATGCCCGGGACATTCAGTTCCGGGCGCGGGTCAGGTAGTTGCTTTCTACAGTTAGCCCTGCTTTGGGTAAGCAGAACTAAATGTACAGCGGGGAAGCCGCCACTTGTTTTATACAAGTGGTGTTGGCGATTCCGCCGAGATCACTTGTATGCAGCCTGCAGGTCTGCCATTCTCCATTGGAGGGAGGTTTGGCGGGTAGGGGAGTGCATTGGGGACCTGGCCTTGGGGCAGCAGAGAGAATAAATGCGGCCCTGGCTATCAGCCTGTCAGGGCCGCTGTTAGCGGGGTACGGCCGATATTGATGTAAGGGACCCGACCAGCCTTAGGGTCCCGGGCACCTTACATGGGTATCGGCCGTACAAGTGACAGGCCAGGATGTGGCCAGCCCCCCCCCCCCCCGCCCCC